CATGTTGTGTTTATTTTTACATTAAAAATATTTAAGTTTTACTTACTCGGGAATTTTTCTCACTTTTGCTCCAATAGGTTTCTAAGGAATGAGGAATGTAGAGTATTTAACTGACATTGAAGGTTTTCTTATAGACAAGGTTTTTTATAGGTGCTTGTAAAAAAGGTTAACTGATCAGCAAGACTAACGCCTGTATTCTAAAAGCTCACTCACACACAATGAGTGGAGGTTCAATCTGAGCTTCTCTCGAGTGTCAATGCTGTTTTTGAATAGCTGGAGGGTTAGTGTCATACCTTACTATGTGACTACTCACCCTCCAGCTATTCAAAAACAGCACTGACACTCAAGAGAAGCTCAGATTGAACCTCCACTCATTGAGTGTGAATGAGCTTTTAGAATACGGGTGTAAAACTTGCCATTCTTTAAGAAACGTTAGGGACCGGTCATTATTTATGGTGGGGGGTGGCACCGAAGAGAAATGTTTTTCGTGGCAAAAACTTTTGCTGACCCAACCATTAAAAAATCAAAAATTTGATTACCCAACCTCAGATATCATTTAAAAATAAATACCCACCCCTGGCCAAAAACGTTACAAAAGGATGTCATTCAGTTGTCACACATGTCCTTTACCACTTCTGTGATACGTTTGATAACGTTCGGCTTGTGAAATTTACTGACTTTTCTGCAGTCTAAAGTTTCATGTTGTCTGCACATTTACTTTCCTTGGAGACACCGTTTGTCTCCCAACAAATCGGAAAATGACCAAGATAGTGACTCTGATTGATTCACATATTGTATTGACAAATGACTGTTGACATTGAAGTTTTCAGTCTTCAATATTTGAGTGAGTCATGCTTTGGAAATGACAATAAATTTTTATTACCCAACCCTTGAGTTGTTTCGTTTTTCATTTACCCAACCTTTTACTCACTCAAAATTTTGTTTACCCAACCCTTTTCTTTTCGGTGCCACCCCCCGCCATAAATAATGACCAGTCCCTTATTCTATGGTAAAAATATTTCCATATTTTGGTAAAGGGCCTTAAAACGACTAATATAGCTTTTGTACCGCAGAGAAATAAAAGTTGAATACAAAAGTTTTGCGCTTACCTTTCCTCTTATTTTAATTGCGATATTAGTAACCGCGCCTCCATGTTCATACGTCACAGGTGGCGTATCGCTCCAGGCTCCTGACAGGTCAACACGGGCTGGACTTTCCGCGATAAACCATTGACCAATAGGAGGCTGAGATTTTGGAGAAAATGTGACAAACTAAAAAGCAAAGAATACACGTTGAATGTTAACAGGTGTGTCCAAGCCAGGACGCTCAGTGTGTCTACATTTCGAAAGTGGATAACTATCTGGTGGATCGCAACGCTTACTGAGATATATCAAACCCTGAATGTACATAGTAGATTCTTGTATTTTAATAAAATAGCCTGCTGAAAATGAATATAAGATGTTGCTTAGCAAAATAGATAGAATTTTCATACCTGTCTTCCTGTCATCACAGCATGTCTGATTAATATTTGCATTGCCCCTTCATAATGACGGGCAGCCCGGATAAGCAAGTCAGACCTAGGAATAAGTTTAGAGAATTATTCAGGGGTAGGGGGTGGACACCCTCCCTTTCAAAAAATGTCTCAATCACGGAAGCGAGGCTCTATATAACAACGGCTAAGTGCTTTCTGGAAGGATGTATTTGAAAAACGGTTAACTTCGTGTATAATGTACCTCCGCAACCACTTATCTCGTTGATTTGCGAGTTCCATAACACCTTCGGTAATATCTCTCCTCTAAACAAATATTGCAAACAAAACTTAACAAGTTTACAAGCAGGGGCCGGTTGTATAAAACTCTTAATCACTTTTTTAATCACTCTTTTGTAGTTAAGTAGTGATTAACTCTCAAATAGGCGTTTCTTATTGCGGCCCCAGGCCTACAGCTTGAATAAGATAACGAAAGATAAGATACCGTACCTCCAATAGTCGGTAAGCATGCATCCAACTTTCATTTGCTGCAGGGCCACTCCGCAGACCAACTTTATCGCCCGCCATTTCACTGAGCACGTCAGCAATACATGACAGTGTCCGTGCCACACAATCCGCTGACCCGGCACTGCAGGCCACTAAAAGATAGCAGAGTATATGTAATATAGTGGTCACGATCCAGTGACAGGAATGCACTATTGTTTTTTCATTGTTGTCAAAATCCCACTGTTTTCCGTGCCATCCAGTCACGATGCAGTGCGATTGTGCCGTGAAGTGAACTTAAAAAGTGAAGCCTGGCGTGAGCAACACGTGAGCAGTGGCGTCAGCCCTCCACGCCATTTCCACGCCATATAGTACGTCAGTTTCAGTCCCTTTATACGCCATCACCGCGCGGTCATGTCCCCACGCCATATACAGTAGTACGTCAATTTCAGTCCCCTTATACGCCATCACCGCGCGGTCTATCACGAATCGGCGCGCGTCAAGTAGCGTTGGCTTCACGTTTCTCCCGCATGTTGTCATTCCAGATAAAAGACACGGAATTCACTGTTTCAAACAAAAGACTTTGCATGTAAAGTAATCTATACTGTGAAGCCAAACCGGAAAATCTGACTGACCTTTATCAAGCTCTTTGAGAAGTTTCAGACCATAATTTTCCAAGACACAGTTCTTGAAAAATGGCAACAGACAGTTGTTCATCGCTCCCATTAATGTCTCTTTCATTCGCCTTCGTCCAATTTCATAATATAACCATCTAAAACCGCGAGAACAGGTTGGTTTCACTAAGCACCATCGTGCAGTAGATGCTGGTGAAACAGCAGTAGATGCTGGTCAAGCAACAGTAGATGCTGGTCAAGCAGCAGTAGATGCTAGTCTAGCACCATCGTGCAGTAGATGCTGG